GTATTCTCGGGTCTCAGAATCCAAATTATCTGTTGAGTTTTTTATGTTGTCTCTGCCGAACCTGCCTTCAAAATATACTGATATGATGTGATATATGATTTTTTTTTAATATATCTTAAAACATTAAAATTAATATATTGAAGATTTTAAAGAAGATAACACAAAAGATTAAGCTGAAAATCCAAAATCCTATTGTGTCTAGTCAACGTACTTTCCATTTATTACGAAATTAAAATTTTAATGTCATAATCAATTAGATTCATTAACTGTATGTTAAAAAGTAGATTAAGTCTAATTTAATATGGTAAAGATATGTTTGTAAAGTGAGGTTTACATCCATTTATTATATATTATAAGTTGATTTTATTTCTAATTTATACATTTTGTGAGACTAGATATTAATGGGTGGTCCAATAACAATCCGATAACGGGTGAAACAATATGCACAACAAACAACAACAATTATTGTTAGGATAAACTATAATCTGACTCTGATACCATGTTAAGAAATGAACTTTAAGCTTAATTTAACCTCATAAAATCAAATAAAGTTTGATCTATTTATATATTATAAATCGACTTTAACGTCGAATTACCTTTAACAATTACGCTACCATAAAAAAAATTAAAAAAAATGTGAAAAAGTAATTCTTGACCTCATTATCCGAAAGACCTGTAAAAGTTAGACTAATTCAACACCTTTCCGTACCATTGTTTCTTCCTTTCCCTTTATAATTAGTGGGAGAAAACTGCTCAAACTAAGTCAGCATTCTGAATTAGTTGATTTTTTTATGGATGATAGTGTTTGATGCCCTACACAAACTTTACAGCAGTGTGGAGAAATAGGAATCTATGTATCTGATAACAAGGTTGGGATTGGAGCTGGGCTAGGTGTTATCGATAGTAGTGGAGAACCACTTCACTTTACATTAATAAATAATTATAATAATAATATAACTGTTTAGGATAAATGTTGAAATAGTAGATTTAGGAGTTATTGGATATATATAATCTTCTTTATCCAATGGAACTCTCCAAATATCATATGAATGACTTGATTGAATAGGGAGCCATTTTGTCCATTAATACTTTAATCTTGAGAAACATAAGTGGAAGGTAGAAAAGCAGACTGAACTTTACAAATCTATTCAACTATATTTCATATAATAAAAAAAACTTCAGAATTTGTGTAAAAACCACTTGAGTGATTCTCCCTGTACCTCACCCACTTCGTCCTGCACTCCCAATTTTACTTCTTTGCCCTTTATTTAACAAAAAAGTCAAAACTTAATTAATGAATTTATTTTTGTTAACCACCAACCATTTTCCTAACTGCCAACCACAAAAATATCTTTTGGGTATAAACCCTCAGGTGCGCCCTGTTCTTCGTTTTCACTGTAGCAAGCATTGTTATTTTTCTTCACTCCTTTACTGTGTATTGAGTTGGTGGTTATCATTCTTGGGTGGTAGTGCTGGGTGTGTTGGGAGATTTGGAGATCTGCTGTGACATTGTTCGGCGAGAAGAAGAAGACAGGTACGTTTGGCGGAATCTCGTAGCCGCACTTCGAGGTGCGGAAAGCAGTGGCCGCACTTCAAAGTGCGCTTTTTATTTCTTAGGCCGCACTTTGAAGTGCGGTTTGTCATATGTATTTTTAATTTTTTTTTTATTTCATGCATGCTTTTTTTGTTTAATTTTTTTTGTTTTATTTCATGCATGCTTTTTTTATTTAATGTTTTTTGTGTTATATTCCTGTAATGCTTTTTTTTTATGTTTTTTGTATTATGTTATTATTTTTTATTACAAATAAATCCAAAATAATATTTAACATTACAGATAATAATTATTATTTAATTCAATAAACAATTTCATAAAAAATTAAAAAACTTAAATAAAATTAAATACATAATAAATAATATAGTACGAAAATAATAATATGTTGAAAAATAACAAATTCAAGAAAATTTAACAAAAAAAAGAAAATAATTCAAAATATATTAAAACAAAACATTTTATTTAACAACTAATATAAAAAATTAAATTTATTATACTAACCTAATAAAATAAATATATACTAACTTAATAAAAAAATTTAAAAACCTAATAAAAAAATTCATAAACCTAATAAAAAAATTCATAAACCGCACTTTGAAATCTGACGGATCGAAATGCGGTTCTATTTGCACATTTCCGCACTTCCAACTGCGGACGTCTCTGACCGCAACTCCAACGGCGTTTAAGCTCTCCGGTAAACGAACGAACCGAACCGACGCACGAAGCGAACACCCAGGCACCCAGGCACACATGCACATGCATATGACAGCAAACAAAACAAAGTAGATGCAATGGTACTAACCTGGACGCCAGAGATCTGTGAGGCCACGACAGGACGAACGCAAAACGTGGCAAGGACGAACGCAAAAGGGACGAAAGCAGAGTCTTGGCACGAAGGACGAACGCTTGCACAAGAGGGAGGGCGGAGACAAAATACAGTGGTGGTAGAGGATACAGGGGAGAGAAGAATGGGGGAGGAAGACAGAGAGAAAAAGAGGGAGGGGTGATTTGGAAATGGGTGTAGGGTTTGAGTTTGAAATGCGACAGGGAAGAGTTAAAGTTTTAGTCAAACTTTTTAAAAAGGGTTAAATATGTTTTTAGTCCCTAAACTATTGGCCGTTTCTGGTTTTCGTCCCTCTTCCAAAGTAAGGTACAATTTGGTCCTCATTCTTTAGAAAAACGTTTGTTTTAGTCCTCAAAATTTTGTTTTTAGTCCTCGTTTTAGTCCTCAAAACGTTCGTTTTTTCGACTAAAACGAACGTTTTTTTAAAGATTGAGGATTAAATTGTACCTTACTTTGGAAGAAGGACGAAAACCAGAAACGGTCAATAGTTTAGGGACTAAAAACATATTTAACCCTTTTAAAAATCAATTTTGACTGTGCAAAGGCTATATTTGGAATTAAATTATATTTTGGAGGTGCAGGACGAAGTGCGTGAGGTGCAAGAAGAATCACTCAAACCACTTTGGTCATCAAATTGAAAAGAGAATAATTTCTTGGATTTTTTATTTTATTTTTATTTTTCTAAAACCAAATAAAATTCACAAGAAACGTATCTTTGTCTTTGATATAAAGTACTGAAGATACTATCAAACAAAGTCAAAGAAAAAACGTAATTAAAAAAAAATAGACTGATACCTGAGTTAATAGTTATAGTAATTAGCAATAACACGATTAAATATATATTTAATTTTATCATAAATTTCTTGAAATAGCTAAATCCTAAATATTAATGGTATGACATAATCACAAAGCTAAAAATGTGTTTTTGAAATGCGAGGGATAAAGTAATGGTTTTTTTAGGGATAAAAATTAATTTATCTTAAATATAAAGATTAATGCCTAATTAATGATTAAAAAACATCAAAATTATAGTGTGGCCCCATTTTAATGGTGCGGTGTGGGCAGATACGGGTCCATTGCGTGAAAAAGGTGCACATGTACAAAGGCAGTGTCATGTGTCGTGATTCTGACCTTTCGTCTTCAACTAGCACAGTAAACACATTTGAATTTGTATGAAGGTATGTGTCACCCTTGATCCATCTTTACTCATTTTACTGGCTTTGATTCAGTGACAGATGCATGATGAATGATGAATGATGCATGCTGCATGGAACGGTTAGGATTCAAGAGATCCATGTGGGTTCTGTACCACATAAAATCCAACCCATTCCATTACCAAACATTACTTCTCTACGCAAGATTGTTTTTTTTTTTTTTT